CATAAAGAAAAGCATAGGGACTTGGGTTTGGAAGTTATTTTCTGTGTTTGTATTTTTAATTTTTTTTTTATTAGAGAGAGAGAGAGAGCATGCCAGCTGGAGGGGAAGGACAGATGGAGGGTGAGAATCCCAAGCAGACTCCATGCCCAGCGTGGAGCCTGATGCAGGTCCCGATCTCATGACCCTGAGACTATGACCTGAACCGAAATGAGGAGTCCAATGCTTAACTGTCTGAGCCACCCAGGCACCCCTATTTTCTGTGTTTTTTAAAAAAGAGTATCATGGTATATATATATACCTCACATATTAGAAAGCCTTTGCAAGGGGTGCCTGGGTGGCACAGTCGTTAAGCAACTGCCTTCAGCTCAGGTCATGATCCCAGGGTTGTGAGATCGAGCCCCACATTGGACTCCCTACTCAGTGTGAAGCTTGTTTCTCCCTCTCCCGCTCCCCCTGCTTGTGTTCTCTCTCTCTGTCAAATAAATAAATAAAATCTTTAAAAAAAAAAGAAAATTTAAAAAAAATTTTTTTAAAAAGGCTTCACAAGCTAGGTGTACAGTTCAGTGAGCCTTTTTAAGTATGAATACTTGGGTTACTGTCATTGCAATCAAGATCTTTAGGGATGTGGATATCTGACTATAAATTTGTCAAAACTAAATGAAACTACTCTTTTTCCCTGTGTAAGTAATAAGTGTTTTGTGGGGAGGGGCTTTGAAACAATGTAAATATCCACATGTCTCTGTATCTACATTGGTGACCTCCAAGGCCAGGGGACTCAGCCGGTGGTCACAATAACAGTTCATTTCTGTCCATCAATTTGTCCCTTAGCCCTCCTGGTCCTGCAGGTGCAGGGCTCCAGGGACAGTCAGGACTTCTTCATCCAGACAGGACAAAGGAGGGCCTGAGATCTGTCCCCATCATGCCTGTGATGCTGTCCATCCCCCTGCCAGCTCAGACCACCATCATCCCCTCTTGGTTTGACCTAAACTTTGGCCTTTCCACCCTCCCACGCTCCCCCACTCCCAGCAGAGCAAGAGCAAGCCAGAATGCTGGGCCCTTCATGTTTAACTTCCTCCCACTCACACATCAGAAAATAACACAAGTCTTTTTCTATTTTAATTTTCAAAGGTATACATATTTCCTCCCAACAAAATGTTGGGGTTTGGGGGGGTTTCTCTTCTACTTACATTCTTCCTGGGCTCTGCTCTTTTTTGTGTCCATATTTTTTGAACCATTTTGGGGGAACTATATCTCTTTTCTGAGCTCCTTTTTAGTGAGGTCGTTGTCTGTCATTTCTCTGAGACTGAGTGGACCTACCTGAGCTCTTGCTCTGTGTCCTGGAGCATTTCCTTTCTGAAGCAAATTCACCAGCCACCTTTTGCTGGCTCTCTGTTCCTCTCCTTGAGCCCGTTAGAGAAGGTGCTGGTTCGTTTTTGGCTCGAGCTTTCCTTTGAAGGAGGTCGGGGCTTCGCCAAAGCGGGTGTGTCGGGGCTGGGTGGGGGGCCTTCTGCCGCAGCGGGTGGCTTCTGGTGGGGAACAGCTCCGCCACATGCTGACACCTGAGCCCACGCGGTTCTGGGGCTCGTGTCAGGAAAGGGCGAGACCTCAAGCCCCAGCAGCCTGCGTGTTACCGTGTGGGAGCTCCGGGCCCGCGGTCCCCGCCGCAGGGCTGAGTCACAGAGGGGCCCTTGGCAGCAGCCAGCACCCTCCCCACAGCCGCCGTGCCCACGGCAGAGGCAGCACGTTCCTCTTTACCGTCTTGCCCAACCCTGGAACGGATAGAGGCCGAATGGTCCCGTTACCCATGCTTAGATTTTCCTTACTTTGTCATGTCACAGATCCTGTGGTCAGGAATTCCAGCAGGTTGAGACAGGGACGGCCTGTCTCTGCTCCATCATGTCTGGGGCCTCAGTTGGGAAGACATATGCTGGTGGGGTGACTCACATGGCTGGGTGCCACTGTCATCCGGAAGCTTCTTTGCCCGCATGTCTGGAACATGAGCCAGGGTGACCCAACCCGGAGCTCAGTCCTGACTGTTGACCCGAGATCCTACCGGTAGCCTCTCCATTTGGCTGTCGGGTTCTGAGTGGGAGAGCCCGAGGAGACTGAGGAAGGGGCTACGGGGTTCCTCCTGGCCTGGCCTCGGACGTCACACAGGGTCACTGTCACCAGGCTCTATCTGGGCCTTCCGACGGGGACAAACATTGGTTCTTGGAGGGTGAAAAAATGCTACTCTTTTCGTATATAAAACATAGATGATCGATTGGTAGAGGATCAACTGATCAATAGAACATGGACATATACAGTATATCTTTGTATTAAAATGTCATAGCGCGGCGGGGTAGGGGTGCACTTCTAGGAAGAGAAAATGAGTCAACAGGCTCCTTAGGAGGATAACTATGGAACAACGTTTGGGAAGCTCTGCTCTGGGTTACTGGTTGCAGTAGTCACAGCCCACCCAGACTCAAGGGGAGGAGACATAATCCCAACTCTTAATAAAAGGAGTGTCAAGAAATTTGCAGTCCCGTTTTCTAACTGCCACATGGAATAATATTAATCTGGTGTCTTCACATCACATCAAAGAACGAGGAGCCCAGAAGGGCTGAGCCCCCTGGCCCCAGTCAGAAGGTCAGGGAACAGACTTGGATCTGCCCCGGAGTCAGCCTGGGGCTGGCCCACACGGCATTCCAGCAAGGGCATCCGTGTACTTGAAAGGTCAGTTCCCAAGCCTGCAGGGCACCATGTGGCCCCAGGTGTAAAGAGTACGCAGACACAACGATGTTCTGCAATTCCTCTGCTTTACTCACAGATCACAGACTGCATCCATGAATTGCATGAACTTATGAATATGTTTTGTTCGGGTCACAATATTTTTTAAATGGAGTGTGTTGCCTACATGTAAATATGAGCAATTTCACTTCTGGTTTCTCTTCTAAAAGCAGAAACGCCAGAAAACAGCGGGTCCTGCATGGAGAGTGTTTAAGACCTTCCTGCAGCTTCCTAGGGCTTCCAGGATACCATTAAAGCACACAGATTAGAAAGGAAGAAATAAAATTGTCCCTTTGTGCAGATGACATGATTGTGTAGAAAATCTCAAGGAATCTACAAAAAAAAAAAAAAAAAAACCAACTGCCAGAACTAAAAAATGAGTTTAACAAGTCACAGGATAAAAGATCAATACACACACACGTACACACACATACACACACACAGTCCTATTTCTATACTAGCAACGAGCATGTAGAAACTGAATTGAAACACATGGTGCCGTTCACAGCTGCTGGACAAGAAGAAGAAACGCCTGGTATAAATCTAACAGAACATGTGCAACATCCATATACTAAAATTTTTTTTAAAAGATTTTATTTGTTTGACAGAGAGAGACACAGCGAGAAAGGGAACACAAGCAGGGGGAGTGGGAGAGGGAGAAGCAGGCTTCCCGCGGAGCAGGGAGCCCAATGCAGGGCTCAATCCCAGGACCCTGGGATCATGACCTGAGCCAAAGGCAGACGCTCAACGACTGAGCCACCCAGGCGCCCCTCCATATACTAAAATTTACAAAACTTGGGTGACCTAGGCCAAGGAATATTTAAATAAATCGTGAGAGGTACCATATTATCCACACAGCAAAGATGTCGATTATCCCAATATGGTCTATAAGTTTAAAACGATTCCTATCAAAATCTCAGCAAGGCTGTTTTGGTAGACAAACTTACTCTAAAATTTATATGGAAAGGTAAAGAAACTAGAATACTTAAAAATAAGTTTGAGAAAGAATAAAGTACATCATAAGCTTCTCTCTTGCCCAGCATTGTGTTTCCTACATCGCCCCGTGTGTGTTTTATCATATGGTCCATATGTGCCTCTTTGCTTGAATTTCTCCGTCTGCAGAGTCCTGGGCCAGTGCCAGTTCTCCTCAAGGGGCCACGAGGGGCCCTGCCCTAGCAGAAGCCATGCCGGGACTCGGGTTCCGAGCGTGGCCACCCAGCCGGCGAACACAGCGCTCAGGAGCTCAGAGCGTTTTCTGGAAACTGGCATCACGAGCTCAGGGAAGGCTTCACGTGGTGGAGACGAGAGGGCTGGTCTAGACACAAGGAGCTGAGTGGAGCCGGGGACGCGTGCTTGTGACAGACTGTGTATGGCCCTGCACACTTCCAGAGAGGAGCCACTGACAAGCATTTGAAACCAACGGAGTCCTTTCCGGGGCTGGTATGCCCCGTGGTGGCTGTGGCATCACGCCATCCCAATTGGGAAGTATTTCTTCACCTCTGTGTCCTGTGCCCTTCTTTGGAAAACTATGTCTGCTTGTCCTGTGGAAAGCACCAGCTGTTGACATGTGACTTCAGCCAGACTTCTACTGAAGTGGACCATCCATCACCTCTGTGCATAGGAGGCCCTCCCAGTTGGGGAATTCCAGGAGTGATGTTAGGGGCACCTACTACTCTTCCCACTACTGTTCCAATCAGCGCCAGAGCTTTAACCTGAAGTTTCTCAGTCATGGCCGGCCCAGGCAGAGAGGTGCTGAGCCCAGCCATACACTCCCTGGTCTCAGGGACACAAGTGAGGTTGAAGCCCTGTGAGCCCAAGGATGGAGGTTGTGACGGACAAGTCCTCACGGAGCCTCCTGGCTGCAGGAAGGAGGTGGTTATTGCCCTGGGGAACACTGAACTGAGAAGCTTTTGTGGCAAGGAGAAGCATAAAGGGCCAGGCTTTCCAGCAACTTCCAGAGAATTCTTGCCCTTGGGAGGTAGGCATGAGGGCAAGGAGCTAAGGGATCTGCAGCAGAGAAAGGAGGACCCCGAGCATGAGCCCAGGAGACTCATCCTTCCTGCACCTGAGGACTCAGAGCAAGTGTCCTCTAAGACCCAAGATTCTCCCTCAAGACACTGGAACAATACCCTCAAAAAGACCTGGGTCCGTCCAGAATCCAGGCACTGCTGCCCCCCTGCCCTGGAGTCCAGAGTCTGAAGGTCTTTCTTGTCCAGTCTGAAGGGCTACATTCCTGGACAGGCCATTCCTGGGGACGGTGTACCATTGTGGATTATCCTCATTAGGCTTATTTCCTCCACAGCCCCTCTGAGGCCTGTTCACCCAGAGGACAGCACCCACCAATGTCAAGAACAGGGGAAGCTTCAGGAAGACCAGGAGCAAGAAGTGGACACTGCTGAGCAAGGACCTGTGGGGGGACATAGGGACAGGAAATGACTGGCTCCTCAGGGGGAGGCCCAGGACACTTGTCTCCCAACCAATCCCTGTGCTCTGACTCTAGAGCCCTCATAACTCAGGATCAAACCTGGAAAGGACACGTGCCTGGGCAGCCCCTCTCTGGGGCCCCATCACCTCCCCTCCCTTGACCATGAACTGCCCCCGGGAATCCTGTTAAGGAGAGGTGATGGGGCAAAGAGAAGAAGGGCCCAGGAGTGCCTGCTTTCCAGAGGCTTCCTCTCTGTCCTTTCCTCTCACATTTCTCCTTATCAACTGACTTCTTGAAAGCCATCCCCATTCTCACTTTAAAGCCCTGACCCTTATTCTCGGCCCTGCAGGGCCAGACAACAACACGGCAGCCCTTTCTGGGGATCTTGGGAGGAGGAAAACAGCCTGGAGCGAGCCCAGCTCTCTCCGTACCCCACAACTAGCTCCTGGATCTCTGGTACAGCAAAGACCTTTGTAGGTAAGCCCAAGTTAGGGCCACAGAACCAGAAGCCAGAGTCCAGAACCAGGTGGGGAAGGGGAGGGGGAGCGGTGGGCATGGGAGGAGCTGCATGTCCACCTGAACCAGCCTCCTGTTCCCCTACAGCTGCCCCATGGGGGAAAGCATTCCCAAAACAAGTGATACTTTCTTCGTGGAATCCCCATGCAGCCATGGAGAATGTAAAAATCAGGACCAGAACTAGAAGAAAACCCAACAGTGAGGTAAAAAGGTCATGGTGTGTTGCCAGCCCCCACCACAAGGTCCCATAAGGCTGCCGAACTCCCTCTTCTGTGGTCCCTAGGCTGTGGGCCCTTACCCTGAGCAGTAGGTCAACACCTCCTTGGTGCTGAGGTTCTGCTTGCTTTTCAGCCCTGGAAAGGCAGCAGGTACAGCTTGACATATGATCCTCTCTGTGGTTTTTTTTGGTGCTGAAGGCAAATCACATATCAGGTGCTTGCTCTCTCCCCAGGCATGCACTAAAGTGCCCATTTGGACCCAATGTTACACATGATCGCCCACTTGCAGAAGGGACTTGAGAGATGCTCTGAAGCTAGTCCCAGGTCACTTCCAGGATGGAGTGAGCCCCTCAGGGACCAAGTGAGAAGCTTCCACAACTGGCCATATGAGCCACCTCTAATAAGTGCCAGATCTTTCTTTCCATCCCAAGTCTGACTCTGCCTAGGGTGAGAGCAGGGGTCTCTTACAGGCTTCTCCAGCTGAGGAGGAGCCCCAGAGGGAAGAGGAACAGGGGCAAGTCTGGAAAAGATGACTCCACCTGTGGCCCAGAAGCCTGAAAGAGACTGTGGGAGGGGGCTCACAGCACCCTTCAGATGGAAACTAAGGCCACTTTAACTCCCTGCTGGGGAGGAGCTAAATCTCAGGTGTCCAGGCTATTGGTGTAACCTGTGTCTCTGCCCCAACCTCATGACTCCCCCCCCAAAAAAGCAAGCCTCCCAGAGGCTTAGCCCTCCCAGTGCTCCCAGGACAGGCTCTGTTTCATCTGACCACAGTCCTTGATGTCTTTGCCATTGGGGATACATTGATGGATGTGGCACCATCCCTGCCCTCACACAGGGCAGATGCATCTACGTAGATGGATTCACATCAATAGAAAGTGGGCACAGGGGCAGAACTCCATCAGATACAGCAAGAGCACAGAGGACTCAGACCTCAGCTACCATCCAGGCAAGAAGAAAGGCGAGAAATGAGGAATGGTGACACCTAGAGGAGGCCATGGGGAGGACATGAGAGAGCCCAGCGTTTTTCTAGGCTGGGGTGAAGAAAGAGTGTGGATAATTGATGGAGGAAGATACAGATGAGCAAGGAGGGAATTTGGTTCAAGGGGATGGGAAGGCAAGGAGCTCCAGGGTGAGGAGCCAGCCTCAAGATGATTGTTTTTGAACAGGTGGAGGGAAACCGCCCTCAACCTAGAAGGGAAAGGGGAAGAATGAGTTAGGCATTGCAGAAGTTTGTAGGGGGAGAAGAAAAGAAATTGAGAGAGTTCACGTCTGATATCCCATGTGCCCTTGGTAAGGTAGAAGAATGGTAGAGTCATATTAGAAACCATGAACTTGTATTGACACCCATAGGCGCCATCTGTGACTTCTTCAGCACTACTGCAGCAGAGAGATTTTAGGTAGGATACCAATTTGCCCTAGCTTGCCTGGGATGTTATCCAGTTTTAGCATGGAAAGCCCCGCGTCCCAAGAAACTTCTCAGTCCTACACAAACCCCAATGGTTGCTCACTCTAATTTTAAGATGGATCCAGGGATGAGGGTTTTGAGAGGTGGGTAGGGAAATGGTGCATGGTAAGTGAAGAAAACGTAGTCTTCCATGAGAGTTGGGCCTGGCTTAGGAAGGAAGTGAGATCAGGGCAGGGGAGGAGTAGGTGATAAATGGGGAGAGAATGGAGAGAGAGATCCAAGGACTGGAGGCATATGTGAGATCGAGAATAGGGCTAGCAGGGGTGAGGGTGTGGTAAGGCTGATGCACAGAAAATTGTCTGAAAGTACAATGCCTGAGGGTAGGGTTCTGGACATGGACCAGTTTGGGGTGACAGCAAGATGTGCAATGTTGCCATGGAGTGGGATTCTGGAGAGTGGAAATGCAGGCCACTGCAGTTGAGAAGGTCCTGGAAGCTGAGACAAGTTACTCATTAAAAACTCCCAAGATGATGACAGGGATTAGGGATGTCGGAGATTCCATAGGAAGGCAATGGAAGGCCATGTCAATGAGAAGAAGGGGATGCATGTGGCCATGTGACACAAATGTTAAAGGAAGCAGGTGGGACAATAATAGGTTGGAAGTTGTGATGGGAGCTGGGAGAATTTGGACATAGCTTCACCACCCTATAGCACATGGGGGTAGAAGAAAGAGCAGCTTCCACTCAAGAAGACTATTTCTTGAAATGAAAGGAGTGAGGCCAATTTCAGGACAGTATAGTAGAGAGAATATTCTGTGAGTAAGCTGAAGATGTATGTATGAAGAGTTTATTTTCTTTGGTACAGGTTTCCAAAGGGCATGGTGGAAATAGTTTTGGTCCAGCATGGAGGGGCCTCCCAGGCAATGGAGTGAGGCCCAGGTCCTGTGAGAGTGAGGGTACCTTCAGCTACACACCCCCATCCATGCCAAGGCTGAGAAGTCAGCCGCCTCTCACCCTGCCCTCATCATAGGCTCTTCCCAACACCACTGGGATGGAGGACTAGACAAGACCCAGAGACAAGACCCATCAGCTTCGCTGCCGGAGTGAGAGAATTTCTTACCTGCAGAAACAGACACATTAACCTGGACTAAAGGGTCAGGTAACCATGTTCTCTGAATTCTACACCAGTAGGATCCAGCATCGTCTGTAGTAAGGTTCTCCATGGTCACTATAAAGGTGAAGTTATCAGCATGGTCTCTGATAGACACACGCCCATTCCTCTCTTCTTTCTCTTCTCCCTTGGTCTCCACAATCTTCTCACATGTTATGCCGAACTCTCCTCGGCACCAGTATTTGTTATGCCTCTGGTATCCCTCCTCGTACTGACATGGCACACTCAGAGAGCCACCCAAAGTGCCTGTCACAGAGCTGGGGCCCGTCAGGGACAAAGAGCCTGGAAAACACAAGCCACATCCCAGGACTCCATCTCAATAGCCCCTACAGCAGCTGTCTGCCTGAAGCCCAAGGGGAAAGTTGCCAGGGAGGTGTGGACGGTTCCAGGCTCAGGGATGGGGGCCTGGAGGGACATCTGAGCTTAGAACCTAAGCCAGAGGGTCTGGAGACTATGGCCAGCAAGAAAGGTAGAGACCTGTGCCCTGTGAGCCCAGAAACACTGAGTAACCACACAAAGATCCTGCCCCTTGGGGACAGGGAGAATCAGAACAAAACTAGAGAAAGAGCAGAGTGAGCTAGCTGTCCTGCCCTGTCTTTAGCCTTTGCAGGCATGAGATTCAGTGACGTATAAAAACACTTCACTTTCGCGTGAGGCTCTGCACGAAGGTTTTCTGCAACTCAGACTTTTTCTGTAGGAGCACAACTTCTTGTTTACTCCACTCTCTACGTGTTCTCAAGAGAGGAAAAGTAAACCCCTGGCCCTCATCCAGACTACTCTCGAGGGAGGAATAACACACTGTTAGGAAGGGCTGGGTCCCAAGGAGACCCTCACAGGCTCCCTGACACAGGTTTGGGGCACGAAATGACTACCCCCAACCCCGTCACCATCCCCAGGGTCTTACCATCTTTCTTCACCACCTTTCCCCCTTCCCTTCTAGCCATACAACTCTCCATAAATGTAAAGTGGTCACATTTTTCCAAATGGTGTTTGTAATCCCAATGGGTATGGTGGGTGGGAGAATGCTGGAACAGAGAGGAAGGAGCTAAGCCAGAAGCTGGGATGGAAAAAAAAAAAAGAAGAACCAAAATTTCAGTCTTTACAAGTGACTCCAAAGCTTTCATCTGGACCCAGGAGGAACTCTAGCTGTAAATGGATAGAAAGGTGAACCTGTGGGGTTGGAGAGATCAGCCAGTCCATGTGAAGGGGTAGGAAGAAGTTTCCATCTCCAGTTTAACTGCACCCAAGCTAGGGCATTTAGGCAATTTTTTCAGAGTTAAGCAAGCAGATGTGAAGAAGCAGTGATATGCTGGTAAACCAGCTCTGGGCAGGGAGCGAGGCGAGGTGCAAGGAGAAGCCATGGTTCGTAGTGTTTCCTGGTTTCTGTGGTGTAAATACTCTCACTATGACTAATTTCAGGCTAACAACATGCCATCACTGGGTGTAGGGTTGAGAAAATAAGACCATAATCAGCTCTTGTGAGCGGGTGCAAGCCAGCTCTAGCCACTACTGCTTTGGGTGCCCATTTCCTAAATTATGATGATTCAGGAAAAAGTCCATTATCAAAAAAAAGAAAATATCCATTATCATCGTCATCCTCATTTAAGACATTTTGAGCACCTCCCATGTGTAATGAGACACATCTCTTTTAAATGTCTTTCTGAGTCTAAGATCTCAGTTATGAGGGCCCTGGGGGAACTTGAAGATCATCCCATCCACTCTCTTGTGTTACTGAGAAGAAAATTACATTTTGACCAGTGTCACCCAATTGGTCTTCTTTCTTTAAACCTCTGCCTTTCCACCCACTATTCTGGAACAGTCCATCATTATGCTGGGCACGTTCTATGTCTCACCCAACATAAAAATTATTCTACAAACATGAAGAATACCCTCTAATTTTTACCCTGAACTTACTTCCCACAGAGAATGGGCTCTCATGCATGTTGAATGTCTTTTTTTTTTTTTAAGACCTTCTCTTCCGAAACTCCAACCTTCAATGGACAATTCTTTTTATCTGACTACACCACACGTTGTTCTAGCAGGGGTTTAAGGTGGATGCTGAGGATGCCTTTTTAGACCCTTCTTTAATTCCTTCTAAGAAACCTTTCCAACCCCTTTAAACTAAGCTCTGACAAAACAGAACTATTGCTAATTCCTGAACTTTCCATGATCTTTAAAGAGATCCACACTGTTGCATAAGCTATTCCCACTTTCCACTCAGCCAACTCATTCATCCATCAAGACCAAAGTCCAGTGAAGCCTCGGTGAGGACTTGTATTGGGTCGAGAAGTGTTTGGGGCCCTTGTGGTGCACCTCCACACCACATGAATAAATCTCTTCTACAGAAAGTTCTACACTGTATCACAGTGACTTGACTCCCTCGTTCAACCATGAGTCTCTGAGTGCAGAAGTTGCTCTCCTGGCACACAGCTGGTGCTCATTAGGTATATGTAGGAGCTGTAGATGAATGTTTGAGTGGATAGAAGGATATACAGATGGATGAATGGATGTGTCCTTCCTGTTTCTGCTGAGACTTCTCTGGCTTGAACCCAGGACAGACCTTCTACCCACTATTCCAATACCAAGTGCCCAAAGCCCCAGCCCCACTCACCTGAGAGGCAGAGAAGGAGCAGAAATGGGGGCAGCCACATGGTCCTGTCTCTCTGTCTGGTGCCCCAGCAAATCCAGGTGCTTGTGACAGAGCCTGTGGTGTCCACTTGCTACTTGCTCCAGTTTCCTTTGTGTTTCTGTCTCTCACCTACTTCCTTTTTCATCTCCTAGCCACTTCCTATTTTGAAGCCCTACTTAGGAAAAGGGGAAGAGTGGCAAGAGATACTTCAGAGAATGGCCTAAGAACAACAAGAGAAATCTGCTGATCTTTTCTTCACTTAATGGCAATATAATGTTTGGATCATGCGCCAAGGCTTCATGAAAGTCAGTCCCAAAATATAAAACCTCCAACAGAGGACAGCCTTTGTCCCCATCTCTCATTTTTCTTCCTGTCCGAGGCTGCTTGCTTGACCTAACCAGCTGACCCTTCTCTCTGGCTGCATACTTTTGGGTCATAAAACACCCCACTTAAATATCTGGGGTGAGGACTCCCCATAACTCAACGATTACCTCCATGTGGTTGACCTCATACCTCTTCCTCTAACCTAGTCTCTCTTCTGGGCTCTGGACCCAACTTTCTGACTTCCTGTGGGGAAGCTCTACCTGCTTGTATGCTATTAATCTAATTCAATATAAGGGTGTTGGTGAAGGGCATAGATTCTGGAGTCATGCAGATTCAAATCCCATCTCCATCATGTACTAACCATGTGCCCCTGGGCATGTTGCTAAATCACTCTTATCCACAACTTCTTCATCTGTAAAATAGAGTAATAGTAACCATTCTTACCTCATAGGAAATAAAGAGGTGAACAAACGTAAAGCCCTTGGCACAGTGCCTGGAACATAGTAACAGCTCAGTAAATGTTAACTATCCTCAGAATAGTCCTGGACCAGGACTAGCTTCTCATCTGGTCTGTCAACCAGCTATACATTCCCTCCAATTTAACTTACACATCAGAAACATATTCTTCTCAAAGACACAGGTATCAGCTTTGCCCAAATTATTTAAGTTCACAACAAAGCTGTAAGGCAGGTAGCATTATCCCCATTTTATAGATAAGAAGACAGAGGCACAGAGATGTCCTGAAACCAGAGATCATCAAATCAAGTCCACATATCCCAGGCAAGTTTGTTAGCCCTAAGGATTTGGGGGGAAAGCCAGTAGAGGAAGTAGGAAACTGACAAAGAGCTTAGCAGCTAAGAAGTCAGGAGATCACCTCCCCAAAGGAAGCAACAGCCTCTTTCCCACCTCCATCGCCCCAATATCTTACCAATGCCAGAGGCCACAGGTTGCACAATCCACAGCATGGTTTATACAACATGGGAACCACTGTCTGGTGTCAACCCAATGCCCAGAGCCATTTTGCTTGGGGACAGCAGGAGGCCCATAGGGCTCTGGCCTGCACACCCCCATCAGCAACTGTCAGAAGCACCTGGAACACATACATTTGGGCGAAGAGGCTTAGCTCCTAGGAGACAAGGCTCATCTTATCACTGTCTGCTCCACCACACTAGAGAGGAGATAGAAGCTGGGGCAGTCCAAAGATGAGCACAGACATTATTAGGGAAATGCAGCCATCAAGGAATGCAAATCAAGACCATGGTGAGACACTACTTTACACCCACTAGGATGGCTACCATCAAAAAGTCGGATAGTAAGTCTTAGCAAGGATGTCAAGAAGTCAGAACACCCAGGGGCGCCTGGGTGGCTCAGTCGTTAAGTGTCTGCCTTCAGCTCGGGTCATGATCCCAGGGGTGTCCTGGGATCGAGCCCCATATTCGGCTCCCTGCTTGGCGGGAAGTCTGCTTCTCCCTCTCCCACTTCCCCTGCTTGTGTTCCTCCTCTCACTTTGTCTCTCTCTGTAGAATAAATAAATAAATAAATCTTTAAAAAAGTTCAGAACACCCATATATCCATTCATGGGAAAGAAAAATGGTGCAACCACTTTGGAAAACAGTCTACAAATTCCTCAAAGGATTCCACATAGAGTTACCATATGACCCGGTGATTTCACTCGTAGGTGTACACCCAAGAGAAATGAAAACATATGTCCATGCTAAACTGGTACACAAAGGTTTCTAGTAACATTATTCAGAATATCTAAAAGGTAGAAACAACCCAAATGTCCATCAACAGATGAATAGATAAACAAAATGTGATCTAACCTTCCAACAAAATATTATTCAGCCATTAAAAGGGATGAGACCTGCTACAAGGTGAACCCGAAAATGTTATGCAAAGTGAAGGAAGCCAGTCACTGAAGACCTCATAGTATGTGATTCCATTCATTACAAAGTCCAGAATAAGGAAATCTATAGATACAGAGTCGTGTAGTGGTTGCTTAGGACTTGGGGAGATGCAGGAAGAGATGATAGCTAGAAAGTATGGGGTTTCCTCTTGAAGATGATGAAGATGCTCTAAGATCGCGTGTGGTGATGGCCACCCATATCTGTGAGTACACCAAAAGCCACTGAATTGCACACTTTAAATGGGCGAGTTGCATGATATGTGAACTATATCTCAATAAAGCTTTTTGTTGTTTTTTTTTTTTAAGATGAGCACAGAGAGGCAGGAGGCTGGCTGGCGGGTGGGAAGGGAGAGGTAGGGACGGGAGATGGGTCTCAGAATGGTGCTCTCCTCTGCCCCCCACCCCATTCTGTGTATTTATTCTTCAACCAGAGCACAGCACATGGGCCCCGGGAAGACCAGGCTTTTCAGAACATCAGCAGTGGGTAGTGAAGGGACCGGGGTAGGGGAGAGGGCGCCACACAAGAGAGCTGCCTCCCAGAGACAGGTGTCTGAACCTCTCCCCCACTCTCAGAAATGAGCGACCCATATGTAGGAGAAAAGTCAGAAAGCTCAGCTCCAAAATTAGAAGAAAAAAATATTAGACACCTGCCCATACAGGCAATGCTGAGCAAAGGAAGGATGAAGCAGTAATAAGCATGAGCTCGCCCATAATTGCTTCTACTAACATTTCCTTTATTTAAAAAAAAAAAAAATCCGCACAGCTCTTGAGAGGCGCTCATGATAGAGTTCTAGGAAATAAAATAATTAAATGACAAATGCATTTTGAAAACTGAAAAAATAGGTGGACTCTGCATAAAACAATGGAGACGAAGAATAATGTGAGTCAAAACCTCAATGATTGAGGAGAGAATTTTTCTGGGGGCCTGTCCAACTCCAGAAAGGACCCCATGCAAGCACTAATAAGCAACTACTGTAGAAAAAGAGCATCTGGAGTGGTGGTGTGATGTCCTTGAATGGGTGTCAAATCTGGATGTCAGTGTGTGAATAATGCAGACGTTGCTGGTGCTTTTGAAAGAAAAGGAGGAAGCTTTGAAATCTGATTCAGTGGCTTCCCTGCTTTCAAACTTTCGCCATCTCCCCTTTGGCTAGAGTCAAGTCCAGACCCTGGTGTGATATACCAGACCCGGCTCCTGGCTGGCTTCCAGCCTCTCCCAGTCCTCCACAGCTCACACTCTGTGCCCCAGCCATTGCAAACGACTTCCAATGCCCAGACAGCAGGTGCTCCCTTGGGCCAGCAAGATGGTGCACACGGTGATCTCTCGATGCCCACCCAACCTCCCATCCACCTGTCCGGGCACCTGTACCCTCTCAGCTTCCTTCAAGATACAGATAAAGCCTTCCCTTCCAACCCCGGCGCTGGCAGACTTGACCCCTGCCTCAGCCACCACCACACCTGTGTTAAGGTCATTCTTTCCTAACCCTGCCCCAACATGCTTTCTTGGGTTTTCTGTCTTCAGTTTTGCTCTGTTTTGTTTTGTCTTTGGAGGTTCCCTCAGGTCCTTTCCATTGAGTTCATTGGTCCAGGAAACCACCCCTCCCCGCCCCCCCGACAAAACTTGCCATTTCTTTATTTGGTGCTTTCAGTTCCATCCCCTGTTCACACACCTCAAAGACAATCCTTCAGTGGACATCCTTGCCTCCCTGTGATTATAAGGTACACCTGCTTGCTTTGTATGCATATGTTTAGCCGAGATGTCTTTCAACAGATGAATGGATAAAGAAGATGTGGTTCCTATACACAATGGTATATTATTCAGCCCTCAGGAAGGATGAATACCCACCATTTGCATCGACATGGATGGAACTGGAGGGGATTATGCTAAGTGAAGTAAGTCAAGCAGAGAAAGACAAATATCATATGGTTTCACTCATATGTGGAACATAAGTAACAGCATGGAGGACCATAGGGGAAGGGAGGGAAATCTGAAGGGGGAGAAATCAGAGAGAGAGACAAACCATGAGAGACTATGGACCCCGGGAAACAAATTCAGGGTTTCAGAGGCACCTGGGTGGCTCAGTCGTTAAGTGTCTGCCTTCGGCTCAGGTCATGATCCCGGGGTCCTGGGATTGAGCCTCACATGGGGCTCCCTGCTCAGCAGGAGGCCTCCTTCTCCCTCTCCCACTCTCCCTTCTTGTATTTCCTCTCTTGCTGACTCTCTCTCTGTTAAATAAATAAATAAAATCTTAAAAAAAAAAAAACTGGGCGCCTGGGTGGCTCAGTTGGTTGGGCAACTGCCTTCGGCTCGGGTCATGATCCTGGAGTCCCGGGATCGAGTCCCGCATCGGGCTCCCTTCTCGGCGGGGAGTCTGCTTCTCCCTCTGACCCTCCTCCCTCTCATTCTCTCTGTCTCAAATAAATAAATAAAATCTTAAAAAAAAAAAAAAAACTAATGATGTACTATACAGTGGCTAACTGAACATAATAAAAATTAAAATAAATTTATAAAATAAAATAAAACCACATTTTTTGGATGGTTTTGGGCCATCCATCTCATTCTGGTTTTACTTTCTTCACTCAGCACCAGGTTCTCTTTTTTTTTTTTTTTTTGCTATTTTTTTTTAATTCTTATGTTAATCCCCATACATTACATCATTAGTTTTAGATGAAGTGTTCCATGATTCATTGTTTGTCAGCACCAGGTTCTTAAGCCTCATCCGTGTCACTGAGTGTCCAGTTTGCTGTTTTCCAGCTTCAGCTTCTATTCCATAGCCCGTGCTCGAGGCCACTTGTCAGTGCCTCGTGTTGGACGCCTACGTGGCCCCCAGCTCCCTGCCTCCATGAACAATGAACAATGAACATCCTCTAGCATGAGTCCTAGCGGCCTGCAGAACATCTCCCTGGGGTATACACCCCAAAGCAGGATTTCCAGGTCCCAGGAAAAACCTGACAGATTGCTGTCCAGAATGGCCACACTTGGCTGTCAAGTCTCATTCCTTGAAGCCAAAGTCTACAGCCAGAACCTGTTTCACTAATTGGAGCAGAGTCTTCACAAACTGTGCACTGTGACTTCCCCCTTGGATGCTGGCCGGCAGTTTGGCATGGATTTATTCAGTATTCAGGTTAAAAAAAAAAAAAAATAGTTCCTCAACTCTTACTGAAATCCCTCTGTCTAGACTGTCCAGTGCAGCTTAAGACCAATTCAGGATCCTTGTTTGGCTCCTCAAGGGCAAAAACCAGGGCCACCCGCCAGGACCTTCTGGTGCATTATCAACAATCACTTCCTGCCTGCACCCGCGCCACGGTGGATTCTGGGCGCCCAGTGGCTGCACACCCAAGCCATCGCTAATTCTGCCTACAGTGGCTCATTGTCCCGACCACTCCCAGTTCTGCTGCCCCAGTCACCGTCCCCGACCCCATGACGGGTTGTACAGCTTCGCTTCACTGGGCCTCTTGGGAATGGGGGTCTTCTCCTCTGAGGCCCTGCACACCCTAACAGCAGGCCTCTGGCTTGTCCTCACTCTGCTCCTCATGGGAAGCTTGGCTGCTGTCCCCTTAACCGCTGGCCTCCCACTCCTTTGGAGAGTGCACCTCTCCCTGGCTGGCGCCTCTCTAGTTCCCAGTTCCTTCATTAGAATGGTGGCATCCACCTCCTGACGACTGCTGTGAGGAATGAATGAGATCACTGACATCAAGTGCTAGGCACAGACCCTGGCCTGATGTTAGCAACTGATTCCACACACACAGACACACACCAGTGGGCTGGCCAAATGTCCCCCGCCTCTGTGCCTGGCAGTGAACAGCTGTAGTCTCCATATCCTCCCACCCATCTGGGTAGGTGGTAGTGGTTTCATGGGACCTGTGTGTTACCTCTCCTGAACTTGCTTCATTCTTTTCTCCATCTCTTCCCCCAACCCAGGGAAGATTCAGTAAGTGACAAGTCCCAGACCCACTCACCCAGAGGCAGAGAAGGGGCCGACCTACAACCTGTCTCCCCAGCCCCAGAACATCCAGATCCTTATCTTCTGATGTCTGGCCGAGGAGTTCCAGCCCTCGATACTGTCACTTCCTGTCCATATTTTGTTATCTGTTTCCTTCCTCTGCTGCTTCTTCATTTTAAGTTGCAAAGTTATTGGGAAAGGGGAAGAACCTGCTGAAAAAGAGAGTGACCCAAAACCAGAGCCACAGGGGGAGCTTGATGGCACCTTGTCCCCTCACCTGCCAAGGGCCCGCCCAGCCACAGCAGGGCCCACCTGGCTGGATCCTAGGCTGTCCTTGGCTCTCGGCCCCAAGCCGAGATCCACAGCTCCAACCCTGCCCTGCGGAAAGTGCCTGCCCACTGTGGTCACAGCGCAGGTCCTCTTGGGGGACAGTTTCTGATCCAGCTGTGACCAAGATTTACATCCTGCTCAGTTCAAAGCTTCTTCAACCTGGATGCTCTTTTTAGTGTCACACAGAGGAGACATACTCCAGTCTTACAGTTCTAGAGGTTGGAAATCTAAAATTGGTTTCCCTGGGCCAAAGTCAAGGTGTCAGCAGGGCTTCATAACTTCTGGAAGCTCCAGGGCAGAATCCACCTCCTTGCCTTGTTCCACCTGCATGTGGCCCCACACCACTCCACCCTTGGCTTCCATCAGCACATCTGTTTCTCTGACTCTGACCTTCCAGCTTCCATTTTATAGGACTCTTACGATAACATTGGGCCCACTGGATGATCCAGGATAATCTCTCCATCTCAGGATCTTTAACTTAATCACTTCTGTTAAGTTCTTTTTGCTGTTCAAGGTAAAATAGTCACAGGTTCTGGGGATTATAATGTGGACATCTTTTTGGGGGCCACTATTCTGCCAAATAATGGAGCTTAGGGAGGGATGAAGAAAGCCCTTCCCTTTCTCTTATAACAAGCTCCTCTTTTACACCCTAAATATCATTTCACTCTGCTCCAAGGGTCCCTTGATCTCCCACTAGTTTGGTGATTCACTGGAAGGACTCATACAACTTGACAAGTTATAGTCATGGCTAAGGTTTATTACAGTGAAGGATACAGTGCAGGAGTAGCAGGAAGGGTATCCATGGGCAAACACTAGAGATGGGGTGCAGGTATCTAAGTCACCCCTCTCTACAAGTGCCATGGGAACATGCATTTCTCTCTGGCTGCAAACGAGAGACATGTGTGAGATGTCTCCACCCAGGTGCATATCATGAATCTTCCTGCTGACACAGAACAATGCTGACCACC